TGTAAAATTTTCTGCACATTATTTAGCTAGTAAATTCACTCACAATATTCACCTCCTAGAAATGGCAATATCATGCAGTGTGCAACGAGGGAAATTTTTTCAGTACAGCAGCATTAGTCCATCTAAATTTCCATTTCATTTTGTTGTTCATAGGATCTCAAATCAGCCTTTTCAACACATTGCTGACATTTTATCCCTTTCTTGGACTTGAGACAAAGTGTGAAATGAGAGAAACAACTTTGATAAAATTTCAGTACCTCTGCAGCCCTCTGTTGTCTAGCTTTAGCCTCTGCTAGATTGTGGTTCATAGAGAAACGTCTGGCACATAAAATCTGGTGTTTCTCTGCCAGGCTTCGAGTCATTCCCATTCCACAATATTTACAAGAGATCTGCTCTAAAAATTAAAAAACATACATTAATTAGGAGGCTGTTACATGATGAATTTTGTAGTATTTCAGGCGACTGATAGCTTATAACAGAAAAAATAACTTAGGAAGCAACAATATATTAAAAGGATAACAATTTAGGTTCATGAGGATCTTGTCTACCAGTTGGTCCTTGACCAAACCTCTTGAAATTGATTTTACAATGATAACAACTTCGGTTTACAAAGGATCCTGTCTACCAGCTAGCTGTTCCTTGGCCAAACCACTTGGCACTGATCTTTCCCAGATTATTAGAACCCAAGTACAGCTTCACTTTACTCTATCATTGATTGCTATATAGTGTTTTTAGACTTACCCTGTTCATAAAAGGCTCTCATTCGTGCCATTTTCTTAGCCTGTTTTATCTGGTGGAGTAGGTCTGTATGAGAGTCCTGCCAGTGACCTTGAGGTGTTTTTTGATAGGCTGGGTAAGGTTCAGGCTCTTCATCACTTTCATCTGGTTCCACCTCCACCTCATATCCATCATCATCTTCCTTCCATTTCCCACAACGTAACTCATGTTGGATCTAGAAAGTAATTAAATGATTATGTCCCCTTGATAATAATATATATATAGCCATTCTAATAAGGCATAATACAAACACATAAATAACGCACTACTTTAAAGGGACAGGTAGGCCATTTTTTTGACCAATCATACTTAAGTCTCAGTAATAGTGTTCACAGCTCACCATCGAAATTTTAGCCTTCAAATCCATGTTTGTCCAGGACT